GTACTTCGAAAACTCTGGCAAGGACTCGATATGATGTTCAAATCTGTGATATAAGAAAGCACATCTGATTATCAACCCCCAGGTATCTGCTACTGAATACTGGGGCAACAGAGATGGGAAAAGAAAGAAGATGGGTTCTACAGTGACAAAATTAAAAATGTGTTTTTGGGGGGGAGGGCTTTTTCTTAAGGGATTATGTGCACTGGTCCTTTTAAGGTGGTGTCATATTGTAAGAGCCATGATAGCTTTGGTAGCATCTACACAAAGCTACCTGTTGACTAATGCTTAAGGAATAGACCTTGAATGCAGGTAGGACACAGACAGCTGCAGAAACATCTGTCTGTAGCTCCAGCCATCCAGTGTAACGAGCACAGCATCACCATAATAACTGTCCATCTAGGATACCAATATGGCTCTCATTAGCATGCTATCTGAATGCATTACAATAACTTAAATCTTGCAACCCCACTCTGAGGCAAGAAATAGCTATAGTCTCATTTTACAGGTGGAGGACCAAGGTACAGAGAAATTGTTTTAAAAGCAAGGTCATATGAATTTTGTGGCAATCTCTGGAATGGGACCAGGTCTTAGGCTGTAGCATTTTAGCCACTGGAATATCTTCTCTCAAAAACTCAGGCTTCTGAACAAGATGAAAGGGATAGAGAAGTCCATCTAGATCACAGCAATGTGAGCTTTATGGTCACTAAAATGAAGGTTGTGTAAGTTTTCTGACTGAAAACAATTCCTTTTAAATATGTGCAACTGTTGGCTTATTTGCATCTCCTGGGTTACAGAGGAAAAGGAATAGAAGGATAGATGATCTGTGACCAAGGGGACTTGTAGGGGATAGAAACTTTGTTTACAGGGTGAAAGGAAAAGAAGAGGAGGGGACTTGAGGGGGAGTGAAGAGATCTGAAGAAATGCTGAGTAGGTAGGGAGAAGAAGAAAGAGCAGAAATGGTTAATACAGGAGCCCCCAAAACTTCCCAAAATTGCAAGCCAATTCCACCACTTAGGAGGAAGTCACCACAACCCAGTGCAACTAGCAAGAAGCCTAGCATATAAAATGGCGCACACAATTGTATGTTAAATAGTTCTGGCAGCATCACCTAGCAAATGCTGTGACGTGAAATTCTTGCCATTGCCACACAAAGCTGTACTGTGACCCTGGCTTGTTTGCTGAGCAGTTAATAGAGCACTGGTCAGACTGGAATATGCTGCCATTCCCCTGGCAAATTAATATTGATGAAAGTGCTATAGCCAGTGGAGGGGCAGTCCTGGACACATTGGCCACCTCCAAACAAGCAAGTACATGCCTGTTGCGGCATCTCAAAGCAGTTTGAGATGCGGCAGGCGGGATGCTAGGAGTGAAAAAACGTTTCCAGCGTGGATTCTGAAGTGCCATGAAGCAACTGGAGGGTGGGTCCTCCGAAGGGATGCCCTAGCACCTGGCCAAAGCATTTCTATGCCTGCCGCATGCCCTTGCAGCTCCAGCATGCCATGCTGGAGCAAATAGAAGTGGGGCAAGGCTGGCAGCAGAAGTCCGGACCCAGGCTCTGCCCCTGGTAAGTAGGGACATGGGGATGGGAGGGCTGTGGGTGTGATGCTCACGTCTACATGTTGCCCTATGGTGATGTTACTGCGCCGGCTTTAGTACTTTAGTACTTCCGAAAGGAAGTACACCAGTAACTGCCCGTACTGTGCTGTCTGCCCGGCACACATTTATTTTTAGCAGCTGCTTCTCTGTAGCGTTGCACTATAATGGGGGAGCGCACCACTACCGTGAAGTATCTGCTGGTCACATGGAGACACCCGTGGATTCCATGTTGCCCCGGTGCATCACTCCGGCAACGTAGCATCGTGTAGATGGGCCCATTGAGGCAGATGGAGCTGGTACCAGATGCAGCAAAAAAATATTTTTAAATAAGAAAAATGGAAAATACACCCAGCCTGCAAGAATAGTGTTTGACAAATATTGAAGCCTTAAATGTACTCAGGCTTCTTTGGGAGGATGGGGGGGAAGCACTGACTAGCACTCAGGGGATCTGAGCTCCATTCCTTCCTCGGCTACAGCCTTCCTTCTGACTTCAGGAGAGTCACTGTGGCTTCATGTTCCCCACTGGAAAATGGAGCTAGTAGGACTTCCCTATGTGTTGCGAGGCTGCATCGCGGGGAAGTTCAGCTGCAATAATGAGGGAGCCATGTGCGTAATTCAAAGCTCTATAGAGAGATCCTACAGTAAATTAGGTGGAGGTAGAAATTTAGCTAGAACTTCTACAGAAACTGGCCAGTTCTCACCTGTGCAGCCATCAGCACTAGTCTTCAGTATAAGCACAGTTCCCAGAGTGTGACTTGCAATGGCTAGATCTGCGGAGAGAAAACCTGAGCAATCCTGTTCCCTTCCCAGAAGCATGAGGGAACTCATACCACCTTTCCTCATCCTTTCCTCTGGCATCTTCGGGCTCCAGAAATTCAAAGGCCAGACCAACTGGGTAGATAAGCTATTAGCAAAAAGTGAGCTGTGCCTCCCCACAAATCCAAGTTCTTTGTGCACTAAACGCTCACAATCAGGCTGAGATGCTGAGACTCGCATGCGGATGCTGCTTGGTGTCACCCATAACGGACTGGTTGGGACCTGTAGCAAAATCATGATGCTAAAAGGAAAAAGCATAAACCCATGACAACGTTTTTGATGGGAAACCAGAGAATATGTTTGCACTGCTTGGCACGCTGCTCATTTTAGCCATATGCCCTGAAATCTCCCTGGGGATTAAAACATCCTTTTTAATTAATCTGTGCATGTCCTGACTAATTCTAGAAAATTAAGATTGAAGGAGGCTCTAAATGGCAGATGCATTAGCCTGTGTTCCTATTGGATGCTAAAGGGCAGGATGAGTAAATGCACTTACTACCTCTAGGGGTATAGGTATATTCCTCAGCCTGACAAAGGCTGTTTATATCTGAAAGCTTGCTAAGAAGAATTTTTCCAACAATTTGAGTTGGTCTAATAAAAGATACCAAATTTACCCAAAGAACCTTGTCTGTCTTACTACCTCCAGGGAGAAACTCGCTGCTGTAGGAACTGAACAGCAGGTGGCACTTTCCCCTCAAAGTTTGCACAGAACCAGTTCTCCCGGATGGTACTTTACTGGTGCTGCACTGGTATGTGGTGCCTTCCAAGATGTAAAACCTTGGTCACCATTGCTTGTGATCATTAAAGATCTCCTGAGATGTTTCTGTAAACATAGATATCTCAGCCTCTCTCCCCTGGCTACATCTCACCGTGGGCAATTGCATTTTATTGACAGCCTCATTCTGTATGCAGGTTTGCTGACCCAGAGCACTTTAAGTCTATAGTGTCGGTGTATCCGTTAAACTGGTGCTGTGTGTCATCCCAGAGATGGCTGCCTTTTATTGGAGGGTGAAGAGATACAATTCCCAAAGCATTTGGGATCCCTTTGGTATGTAACCACGTGTGTCACCATGAAAGGTATCAGGTAAAATAAATATACCTATTACACAGCACTTACTAGAACTAGATAGTGATGCGCTTAAAGGCGGTAAGTCTCATCCTAATTTCACAACTGGGGCAGGGAGAGGTGAAGTGACCGAGTATGAAACTTATTTTGTAGAAAAGGAATCAGTGAATCAGTTGCATTAAACACTTTTGACTTGTTAATGACCTGAATGAGATTTATTATCGGTAGCGTTCTAGGGATGCTGGATTTCAAATCGTGCTTAGGAGCAATTTTGAAAAATATATTAATCTAATGTTTGCAGGGTGATTCTCTGGAAAGGATTTTGTTTTCATTCCTGTAGGTGGCATAAATGTAGCATACAACTGCTGAGCAGTTTTGCATTGAAATTTGAGGCCTTTCAAAAAGCTGCATTCTTGGTGACACAGCTTATGAATCAGAGGGTTTTTTTTTTTAATGATTTCTACAGACACACCTAAATAAGCTCATTTGCCATTTTCCAGAAGCTGAGTTGTTGGTGCTCTTTTTTTTCTTTTTTGTCGAAGGAGCATCAAGGAACACCTCCCTTCATCTGAGTAACCAAGTGGAAAAAATCCGATTGTCTGACAACATGGGACAAACCCAGCCTCCAAAAATATAGAGTTACTGTCTGCTACACAACTGCTGTCCTTTGACAGTTCATACCAGGGGAACTGAACTGACCAGTGACTGGCTGACGCGTTTTGCTTGCATACAGGATTGCACTGAAGAAAATGGCTCTCTCCCCATTTACTTTGCCACATTTCTTCTCTGGTTGTGTTCAGCTGACACGGTGCTGATTGGTCTGTGCAGGTCAGAATAAGATATATCAGCATTGTGTTGGCTAAGCTGAGATCAGGGTTTATGCCCAGTGGTTAGGAAGCTAACTTGTGATTTGGGATTTCACTTCCCTGTGTTGCTGGAGGCTTCCTACGTGACCTTGTGTATGCCATTCAGTCTCCCTCTACCTCAGTTCCTCATCTGTAAAATTATGAGAATAGGGTGTTTTAATAATAACTGCATTGAAGATTAAAAACTCTTGTATTCTGCTTATGGAACTTATAGAACATGGCTTCTCATTATTTCCACTGACTTGTCAGCCATGTCCAGTTGCATGCCACCTAAATTGATTTTTTTTTAAATGGGAATTAAACACCATTAATTTTCCTAGTTAAAACAAGACTTGAGATTAGCTTTATTGAACCAAGATCAAAGTGCTGACATATTCTGCTCTGCTGTTATAATAAAAGAATTAATGGGATCTATCAAGAGGTGACAAACTAAATTCCACTTCCACACACAAAGCTGTTGCTATCATTCCTGGATCCTATAAATGAAAATAAAACATATTTTAAATCCCTCAAGTTTTGTTCTTATTTTAAAATCAGTCCTCTTTGATTTTTTTAAGTGTTAATGAGTCCTTGTCCTTAGCCAACTTGTTAAAATTCTTTCTGCAGCTTTACCAGATCTCGTTATTTGACCTGTAGATTTTATTTTCTTGTTACAGTGTGTAAAGAATTCTTAGACAAATTTTACAACTCCTTAAAAGAAAAGCATTCGGACTTCACTGTGGCTGCCATAGAGGAGGCTCTGCTCAGCAGCTGCAAGACCGCAAAAGGAAAAGAACAGCGCCTGGTATCATTCTTGTTTTTATATATTGCATGCCCCCAACTATGACAAAATACTGATTAGAAGGTGCTTGGATAAAAAAGATCTCTTTTCTTGCACTGCCTAATTCTCAGGCACTAATTTAGATCTAACTACATCAATGAGAGCATTTTTAAAGCAAAGGTCAAAGGTCTGCCTGGGTTTAATGAGCCCTGGTTAAGATACACCAGTTTCTGTAGCCAGTAGCACACAAGGGAGTGATGTGTCTGGCATCATATCAAGGCATCTCTGTTGTCGCCAGACCAAATAACCAGGTGTCTTTTTGCGGTTGGGTCCACTGGGGATGGCCTTTGACACAAATCTGGACCAGAGTCCAAAATTATTGCTGAAACCCTGGTGGTGAGGCACCTTAACTGCTTTGCCACAAAACATGCTCAGTGGCATATGTGAAAATGAGTCTGGGGAATCCTAAATTAATTTCCAGTGGATAAGGGTCTGCATCCCAAAGGAACTGATTCAACACCCACTGAAATCAATAGGAATCTTTCCATTTGGATGAAATCCGGCATTAATTAGCACATTAGGCATTAATGTGTTTGCCTCTTTTTGACTGTTTCGACATTCCTGGGCATTGTACACCATAGCTGTTCAAAAGGGTTGTTCATGCAGTTTTAAGAATAGTTTTGACAAGTAATTGTATAGGAAAGTGCATCGGGATGATCCTGTCTTGAGCCGGGGGTTGGACTCAAATGCCTCCTGAGGTCTCTTCTGGCCCTACTTTTCTATGATCCTATGTCCAAGTAATCAAAGACTGAATAGGTGTGCGTCAAACTATGCCTTCATCTCTTAGTACTGCTTCACCCCTTCATATCAAAGCAGGTAGGACTGTGTGAAGCAGGCTGCCAATGGCACCTATGCTCTATCTGTTCTGTCAGCAAACAGATGACTTGTTTCCTGGGTTTGGGAAAAGCACTGATTGCCAGCTCCCAGGAGGTGAAGCAGGTCAGGTCCCCTACATTTTTCAATCTTGTGTTCAGTGCATTTTTGTAAATGGATATGGGGCATGGCCACAAAGAGACCAAAGACTGCCCTCCTTTTTGAAATTCAGGGCCTGGGGCTGCAGAACAGACCATGTCTGCTGAAGTGCACAGCAGATCTGATGTGTAGTAATGTATGATGTTAAACCTAAGCTCTCCATGATTTAGTGCCAAAGTGAGAGGCTTAAAAAGCTGGGTTCTGAGAGTTTACCGTCTGAGACTAGAGACAGGTGGAAACAGAAAGGTGGGGTGGACCATCCTAGGAAATAATGAGAGAGTCTTGATCAGTGTGGTCAGTAGTGAGCCCAGCATTTTCTCTTCCTAAACATGCTCATGTTGAATATTTCCTTATTCCATTTGTATTTAACATGAAAAGGGGTGGCAAAATTTGGCCCTTAACTTACTAATTCATTTGGTTGTTCTCTCATATAGAAAAAGGTGCAAGGAACAGTCTGACATGCACCATTAATAGGGCTATGATGTGCCATGAGTGTGTAACTGGCAGTTCATTATCATGTATTAACTTACTAGGTTAATGTTAACCTGGTATTGTATACTAGGACTGTGCAAAGCTTCGGATCATGATTCAGATTCAGAGATGATTCGGATGATTCAGAGGCCAAATCTATGAATCCGAATCGAATCGCTGGAAGCTTTAGGCTTTCCGAATCAATTCGGAGCTTCCAAATAGATTTGGAAAAGATTCGGCAATTCAGTCATAGAGTATAATGGGGAATCAATGAAATATTTAACTTTGTTGTCTTTAGGCTGATTCAAATGAAATTTGCTTGGATGGTAGCCTCTGCTGAGAGCATGATGTGTGTCAAGTTTCAAGGTGATAGGTGCAGAGGTTTATGGAAAACTTCACCTCAAAGTCCTGAAAGCAAAACTCACGTCACATGTGTACGTTAAGGCACAGGGGGTGAAAACTGCAGGGATGGTAGCCCCTGCTGAGGCCACAAAGCCTGCCAAGTGTCAAGCAGATAGGTGCAGGGGTTTGGGGGAAACTGTACCTCAAGCTGTGGACGAGCAAAAGTCATGACACGGGTGACACTGTGTCTGTTAAGGCGCAACAGAGTGAAAGCTGCAGGGATGGTAGCCCCTGCTGAGGCCACGAAGCCTGCCAGCTGTCAAGGAGATTGGTTCAGAGGGGTTCTGGGGCCCTGCACCTCTAGCTGCTGACAGGCAAAACTCAGGTCATGGGTGCTTGTGCAACTGTGTCTGTCTTGGGGCACCGGAGTGGGGGGAGAACTACTGCAGGTCTGGCTGCTAAGCTACTGTGTTAGCAATCAATCATGATTCACCAGCTCAATACACAGTAGCTAGCTACTAGGTAATGAGTTAACGAGCAAGGATTAACACCTACAAAACCACAGACTAAGGAGAGGAAAGAATCAATACAGAGCCGGGAACTGCTTCTGGCGCAAGACAGAGACAGTCAGTCGCACAAGCACCCATGTCACGAGTTTTGCCTGTCAGCAGCTAGAGATGCAGCGCCCCAGAACCCCTACACCTATCTCCTTGACACTGGCAGGCTTCATGGCCTCAGCAGGGGATAGCAGGCCTACAGTTTTCACCCTGCTGCGCCTTAACACACATGGTGTCACCCATGTCATGAGTTTTGCTTGTCTGCAGCTTAAGGTGCAGTTCCCCCCAAACCCCTACACCTATCTCCTTCAAACTTGGCAGGCTTTGTGACCTCAGCAGGCACTACCACCCCTGTGGTTTTCACCCCTCTGTGCCTTAACACACACAGTGTCACCTATGTTATGAATTTTGCTTTCAGGACTTTGAGGTGCAGTTTCCCAGAAACCCCTGCACCTATCACCTTGAAACTTGGCACACATCATGCTCTCAGCATCCCTGTATGTTTCATCCAAATCAGCCAAAAGATAACAAAGTTATAGATATTTCATTGATTCCCCATTATACTCTATGGCCGAATCTCCAAATCGGCTCTGAATCTTCCGAAGCGATTCGACCAAATCAAATCAGAAAAACGATTCAGATCTCCAGATCAAATCTCTGGCATCCAAATTGGCCGAATGTGAATCAAATAGTTCCCTATTCACACAGGCCTAATGTATACAGTATGTCTTGGTTCCTTTAATAATGGTATATTTTTAAAGTAGAAATAATCCCATTCAATGTGGCCATTCAGCTAAAAGGTAGGAGCTGCTATTTGCTTATTAAAGGTTTCCAAATTACCTTATGGGCAAGGTGTATCTGATTGAAATTCACTTCCTGTTTTGCCAGAGGTGCCTTATTTGCATTATTCTGAATTTTGCTGAGCTTAAATGAAGGATCCATTTAACAGGCACAACAAGATGGTCCTGCTGTCAGTATCCCTGAGTTTTACTGCAAGTGTTGAAAATACAAGCGCCCTGTAACACTCTCCACTGTTCCTGTTTTTCTTTAGTGCTGACTGTGTGTCTTGCTTGTTTCAGTGCTATTACATTGGAGCAATAAGTGATGCACCTACCAAGATCATCAGCGAAGTCAGCCGCCCAATGAGTGCCCATGTGCCTGTGCCCAAGATCTGTGATAAGCTGAAGAAGATAGATATTCAGATCTGTGAACTCAAATACGGTAGGGCCTCCTTGCCTATGCACGCTCATGAATTCTCATTGGGTCCTGCTCAGAACAATAGTCATTCCAAAACATGATGTAGAAAGGAAAATAAATAGGCTTGTCCTTATGTGTTTGTTTCACTTCTATGCATACTTGGCCAGAAATCTTTCTCCAGTGAGTTTCTGGCTTATTTTTTATCTCAGAAGTATCAAGAGTATCATGTTAGGCCAGGCCAGTGAGAGACGCGTGGGTGAAAGCCCGCTGTGCTCCCACTCCCCCGAAGCTCCCCCAAACGCCCCCCAGCAGCTGCGGAGCCCCTGCCGACCCTCAGCACAGCCGGAGGTAAGCAGGGCCCGTGGTGGGAAGGGGTTAACCCCTTAGTGCATGGGAGGAGGTGGCTGAGTGGAGCTGGGCCAGGTCTCGCCCCACCCAGGCCCCTACTTCACCCAGCCCCCCAGGGACCCACGCGAACAGGCTGCACAGACAGGCGCGCTTGTCTGTCGGTGCGTGAGTTAGCGCAGAGTTTGCGCAGAAGGGCACGCGGGAGGGCTGAGGCCTGGCCTGTGAGCCCCCCAGCTGTAGCCAGCCTACCAGAGGCATGACATGGATGGGCATGCGCTGCACCCCGAAGGTCCCCTCAGGGTCTGCAGCCATCCCCCCCACCACCTCAGAGACGGCCACCCAGATGGAGCCCACGGTCCCGGGCTCCACGCAGACGGAGCCTCTGGCTCTCGGCTGCAGGGGCTGCCTGTCCCTTTTTCAGGCTCTGGGGCCCGGGAGCATGGCCACCTCCCCGTGTGGGGTCTGCTCCCTTTTGGGGTCTCTGGTTCGCCAGCTGGAGGAGCTCCAGGCCACAGACCAGAGACTGCATGCCACCAAGGACTGTGAGCAGGAGATAGACTCCTACTGCCAGGCCCTTCTCCCCTGGGAGCCGGAGGGTAGACCATGGTCTCCCTCCAGGACAAGGGAGGACTCTGGGACCCCCCACTCTATCCAGTCAGGGGCATGGACCAAGGTGGTCAAGGGCCCTAAGGCCCGCTGCACCAAGGCCCCTGCCCCGCCGGAGCTTAGCAATAGGTACGCATCTCTTGCTGCTCCAGCAGAGCCTGCTGAGTTGCCAGCTTCTGCAGGCAACACAGGCTCACCTGCAGCTATTGCCCCCACTGTCCCCAAGACAAAACGTAAGGTGTTTGTTGTGGGAGACTCCATCCTGAGGGGGCAATCTGCCGCCCCAACCCCTTAGCCCGGAAAGTCTGCTGCTTCCCGGGGGGTCCGCATCCGTGACATTGCGAAGATCCCTAAGCTCCTTCAGCCCACCGACCACTATCCCATGCTCCTTCTTCATGTGGGCACCAATGACATGGCTCGGAGCGCTCCCTGCCGGGTCATGCGGCACTACAGGGATTTGGGAGCGGGGCTAAAGGGTCTGGGGGTGCAGGTGGTGTTCTCTTCAATCCTCCCAGTCTCGGGGTATGGGCTGAGGAGGGAGAGGAGGATCCAGGTAGTGAACGAAAGATTGCAGCGCTGGTGTCATCAGGAAGGCTCTGGCTTCCATGACCGCAGCCAGCTCTTTGGCGAGAGAGGCAGCGAGCTGCTGGGAAGAGATGGCCTCCACCTCTCTCCCCTGAGGAGGAGGCTCTTCTCAGCCAGACTGGCTGACCTGCTCCACAGGGCTTTAAACTAAGCCCACTGGGGGACGGGGGGACTACAGCCACTGCTGGCCCACTAAGCAACTCTTGCAAAGCCAGGAGCCCACCCCTGCCCCAGCCCTGGTACAATCTGTGGGCAAGGCAAGAGCCCCCAAGGCGACACTTGCCTGCCTGTACACAAATGCCAGGAGCTTGGGGAATAAGCAGGAGGAACTCGTCCTTCTGCTTAATGCAAATAATTATGACATCATAGGGATAACGGAGACCTGGTGGGACTCCACCCATGACTGGACCACGGGTATACATGGCTATACCCTGTACAGGAGAGATTGAGTGGATAAAAAGGGCGGGGGTGTAGGTCTCTATGTTAAGGAAAGCTATACATCCCTGCAAGCTGATGTTGGCGACCAGGGTGGACAACTGGAGACCTTCTGGGTTAAAATCCGTGGGGAACACGGCACAGGGGACACAACAGTGGGAGTCTACTACAGACCTCCCACCGAAAGTCAAGAGCTTGACCAGGAACTCTCCCAGGAACTGGCTGAGGCTGCATGATCTAGGACCATGGTTGTCATAGGTGACTTCAATTACCCGGACATCTCGTGGGAGGACCACTCAGCAAAATCCAAGCGGTTGCAAAGCTTCCTCTTGTGCATGGAAGACCTCTACCTGACTCAAGAAGTCTATGGGCCAACGAGAGGTAAACCGCTGCTTGATCTGGTACTGGCTACTGGGGATGACCTAATCGGCGACCTAGTGATCGATAGGAACTGGCTGACAGTGACCACGACCTGATCACCTTCACCATCCGCCGTAAAGCTGGCAAGTCAGTCAGCAACATGGAAGTCTATGACTTCAGGAAAGTCAACTTTGACAAGTTTAGGAGGCTTGTCAGTGAGGCCCTAGGGGACCACGACCCCAGGGGGAGGGGAGTTCAAGAAAAGTAGTTGCTCCTCAAGGGAGCGATCCTCAATGCACAAGCTAAGTCTATTCCATCTTGGAGGAAAGGCAGCAAGAGGGCACAGAAGCCCGCCTGGCTCTCCAGGGATTTAGCAGACCTCCTGAGGCTAAAAAGAAAGGCCTACAAAGGATGGAGGATGGGATTCACCTTCAAGGAGAATTATTCTGCACTGGTCTGGTCCTGCAGGGAGCAAACCAGGAAATCTAAGGCTGCAACTGAACTCCAACTAGCTTTGAGCATCAAGGACAACAACAAGTCCTTTTTCAGATATGTGGGGAGCCAGAGGAAAAGCAAGTGCAATATTGGACCCCTGCTGAACCAGATGGGGCAACTGACGCCCAGGAAAAAGCCAACCTATTAA